GCCATGGCAAAACCCCTGTGGAGATTTTGCCAAGAAAACCCCAAGAACAAGCAATAACAACAATAATCAATATCATCATGGCGGGGGGCGGCGGCGGCAGCAGGACCAGCCTGGGGCTGGTCCAAAGGTTTGGGGGACCGCATCCGGCCCCCGGACCTTAGGTTGTCTGCCCCTGGCCTAGGGAGCTGGGTGTGACATGACAATCATCCTCAAATATCTGAAGGGATGTCATGCAGAAGATGGAGCAAGCTTGTTCTCTGCTGCTCTAGAGACTAGATTCAAGTTACAAGAAAAGAGAATCCATCAGAACGTTAGGAAGAACGTCCTGAGCACAAAAGCTGCTTGACAGTGGAAACGATTGCCTTTTGGAGGGAGGTGGACTCTCCTCCTTTGGTCTTTAAACAGAATGGCCATCTCTCACGAATTCTGTAATTGTGTATTCCTGCATGGCATAGGGCTGGACTAGATACCCCCGCAGTCCCTTCCAATTCTGTGATTCTAGTGGTCTGGTGGCGCAGTGATTAAATGCCGGTAATGCATCCACAAGGTTGTGAGTTCGATCCCAAGGAGCTCCAGGGTTGACTCAGCCTTCCATCCTTTTGTAGGTCAGTAAAATGAGTCCCCAGTTTGTTGGGGGCAATTGGCTTATAGATTCGGCAGAGTTCTCCTTACAGGTGTGTCTGCAATTGCAGGATGGTGCAACTGGCTGTCCTTGGCTGCATCCGCACTGGAGGTCTTTAAACAGAGGCTGGATGGCCATCCATTGGGGTGCTTGGATTGTGAGTTCCTGCATGGCAGAGGGTTGGACTAGATGGCCTTTATGGTTTCTTCCAACTCTACGATTCTATGATTCTAGTCAGAAATAATCCAGGTTGACACTGCTTTTAATGGCCACGGCTCAATACTATGGAATTTTGTGCATTGCTGTTTTGTGAGATGTTTAGTCTTTCCTGTCAGAGAGCTCTGGTGCTCCAACAAACACAAATCCCAGAATTCTATAGTACAGTGGTATCTGCTGGCATTTGGTTCTAGGATCCTCCATGGATACCAAAATCTGTGGATGCTCAAGTGCCATTATATACAGGGAAGGCTACATGTCTCACAAAACTACAGTTACCAGAATTCCATAGTATTCAGCCATGGCAGTTAAAGTGGTGTCAAACTGCATTATTTCTGCAGCGTAGATGCAGATGCCTTATTGGTGTAGATCAATAATTCTCAATCTTTAGGAATCCAGGTGCTTTGGACTTCAGCTCCCAGAATCCCCAGCCAGGCTGGCCAGCAGTCAGGAATTCTGGGAGCTGAAGTCCAAAAGACTTGGAAGCCTAAAGATTGGGGATCATTGGTATAGATGCAGCCTTATTCAGAGGGGGTTTGCCATTGCCCTCCTTTGAGGCTGAGACAGTGAGGCTTGCCCAGTGGGTTTCTATGACTGAGCAGGGATTCGAACCCTGGCCTCCTGGATTCTTTGTCCAATACTCAGAGCACTTTAGCACGCTGGCTCTGTGAACAAGCAGAACTGTGAATCAATTTGTTAAAATATTTTTTTAAAAAAAGTAACCCAAACTTTCTGAACTGGGGATGTTAAGCGATGACAGCTTCTCCTTTAAAACATTTTATCGGTGTAGATGCAGACCTTGCCTTCAGAAACAATTCAGCAAGAGTGCAAATCCAGGTTTCCTTTGGAATGCAATGTGATGGCACTTGTGGTTTGAACAGCACCAGGAGCATCACTAGGGGATGGGACCACACCGGGTGACACCTCACATGGGGATGTCACCAAGTGTCTGCTGGCCAAGCAGGAAAGTGAGTTGAACATTTCTATACCACTTTATAGTGAACTCAGCACTCCCTATGGTTTAAAATCTATAAGCCAATTGCTCCCAACAAACTGGGGACTCATTTTACTGATCTACAAAAGGATGGAAGGCTAAGTCAACCAAGGAGCTCCTTGGGATCGAACTCACAACCTTGTGGATGCATTACCGGCATTTAATCACTGCGCCACCAGACCACTAGAATCATAGAATTGGAAGGGACTGCGGGGGTATCTAGTCCAGCCCCATGCCATGCAGGAATACACAATCCCATCCATCCAGCAGCTCCGCCAGACCTGGAACAATCAGCTGAAGATTCAAACTACAGGAAAAGAGATTCCACCAAAATATTAGGAAGAACATCCTGATGGTAAGAGCTGTTCGACAGTGGAAGACACTGCCTTGGAGAGCGGTGGAGTCTCTTTCTTTGGAGGTCTTTAAACAAAGACTGGATGGTCATCTGTCAGGAGTGCTTTGATGGTGTCTTCCTGCATGG